CTGGCCATCAATCGGAAGGCTCCCCGGGGGTCTCGGGGGGGGGGGGGTTTGTCAATGTGAGTCTGTTTATATGACATCTTTCCTTCTCTCTCTCTCTTTCTCTTCTCTTTCTTTCTCTCTCTCGCTCTCCCTCTCTTCCTCTCTCTCTCCCCCTCTCTTTCTCTTTCCCTCTCTCTCTCTCTCCCTCTTTCTCTCTCTCTCTCTGTGTCTCTTTCTCTCTTCTCTCTCTCCCTCTTTCTCTCCTCTATCTCTCTTTCTCCCTCCCTCTCTCTCTTTCTCTCTTCTTTCTTTCTCTCTCTCTCCCCCTCTCTCTTTCTCTCCCTCTTTCTCTCTCTTTCTCTCTGTCTCTTTCTCTCTGTCTCTCTCTTTTTCTCTCTCTCTTTTTCCCTCCCTCCCTCTTTCTCCCTCCCCCTCTCTTTCTCTCTCTCTCCCCCTCTCTTTCTCTCTTTCTCTCTTTCTCTCTCTCTCTCTTTTTTTGCCTCTGTTTTGCTCAGGTGGCTTCGGGGCTGCTCCAGTGTTCGGCAGCCCTCCCACTTTTGGGGGTTCCCCCGGGTTCGGAGGGGTGCCGGCATTCGGTTCAGCCCCGGCCTTTGCAAGTCCTCTGGGCTCGGCGGGAGGCAAAGTCTTCGGTGAAGGGACCGCGGCGGCCAACACGGGCGGATTCGGGTAAGCTGGTCCCAAGGCCCCTCCTGTGTTTCTAGACCTCAAGGTTTCCCCGCCCATCCTTGCCTGCATGCATCATCCGGCTCCCTGCCTCGTCCTTCGGGAGGGAGGGAATGAAAAGAGGGAGCGGGGAAGGATAGGAAGGAAGGAGGGGAGGGAGGGAGGAAGAATAGAAAGGAAGAGGTAGGAAGAAAGAAGGAAGTAGAGGGGGAGGGAGGGAAGAAAGAGAGAAAGAGAGAGAGAAAGAAAGAAGGAAGAAAAAGAGAAAGAAAGAAAGAAAGGAAGGAAGGAAGGAAGGAAGGAAGGAGAGAGGCAGATAGGAAAGGAGCGAAGGAAAGAAGTAAAAAGGGAAGAAGGAGGGAAGGAAAAGATAGGAAGGGAAAAATAGGAGGAAAGGAAGTCGAGAGGGGAAGGAAGGGACAGAGGCAGGTAGGTAGAAGTGGGGAGGAAGGAGGGAAGGAAGTAAAAAGGGGGAGAGAAGAAGGAAGGAAGGGAACGATAGGAAGAAAGGAGAGAAGGAAGTAGAGAGGGGAAGGGGAGGGAGGGAGGGAAAGGAACACATTGGTTTCTCCTTCTGGTCTGCTTCGTTGGGCGGCCAAGCAGGGGTGGTTCAGCAACGTCCTCTTTGCATTCCTCCTCACCCCACTCTTCTCTCTCTCTCTCTCCCTCTCCCTCTCTCTCCTTCTCCCTCTCCTCAGCTTCGGCAGCACGGCAAGCACGGTCTCCTTCGGCACGCTGGCGGGACAGAACACCCCAACTTTCGGCTCCCTCTCTCAGCAGTCTACGGGTTTTGGCACACAGAGCAGCGGCTTCTCCGGGTTTGGGTCCAGCGGAGGAGGTAGGAGATGGGGGGGAAGGAGGGAGGGAGGGAGGGAGGGAGGGAGGGAGGAAGGAAGGAAGGAAGGAAGGAAGGAAGGAAGGAAGGAAGGAAGGAAGGAAGGAAGACGTGAGAGAAGGGAGGGAGGGAAGAAAGGAAGGAGATAGAAGGAAAGGAGAAAAGGGAGGGAGTAGAGAAGATGAGAAAGGGAGAGGGAAGGAAGGAAGGAAGGCGAGAGAGAAGGAAGATGAGAGAAAGGAGGGAAGGAATATAGAAAGAGGAGAAAAAGGAGGGAGTAGAGAAGATCAGAAAGGGAGAGGGAAGGAAAGAAAATAAGAAAAGGAGAAGGAAGGAAAGAATTTGAAAAAAATGAGACATTAAATTAATATTCAGGATGCTGACCGAGAAAACGGGGGTTGGTGAATTCTAGCGCTCCCTTAGGCATGAAAGTTGGCTGGGTGACTTTGGGCCAGTCCCCAGGTGACACTGAGTTCTAGTCCAGCCTTAGGCATGTGGTCCTTCTCTTTCAGCCCAACCCACCTCACAGGGTGGTTGGTGGTTGTGAGGAAAATAGGAGGAAAGAGTATTAGGCAGGCTTCAATTTCCTTGAGTTTCTTCTTAAAAATAATTAAAAGTGGCATCGAATCGAATCCACGAGGGCTCTCTAATCTGGAAAGAAAAAAGCGTTGCGAATCCACCTTCGAAATCGCCGTCGTTTCGCAGAGTGTATTCCTTCTTTTGTAACTTCCCCACTGATTTTTCCTTTTGTCCATCTTTTCCCCCCCCCCCCCTCCTCCCGCAGGATTTGTCTTCGGATCGTCGAATGCGTAAGTCCAGATTCTTGCGCTTCTTGTCTTCCTTTCTAGCGGCTGCTTTCCGTAACTCGAAAGCTTTCTTCTGCGGCTGAAAGATATTAAAAAAAGGGCTTAATCCCACTGGCGTTTTTTTTTTTTTTTTAATCAGCTTTTTTGGGTCTCTCTTCTTTTTCCTTGTAAGAGCATTAATGGAAAAGCCGAGGATCTGGTGGGCAAGAGGTTTTCGGGGCGGTTCTTTCTGTCGTTTAATGAGCCCATAATCCCTTGTATCGGGGTGGAGTCAGGGCAACTGAATGGAGCCGAGTGCTGACTGGCCAGATGCCTTTCCTGTCACCAGTACAGAGTTATATTCAGCAGATAAATTCTCCGTCTGCCCAGAGAGAGAAATATCTGCCGCTACCTAGGATCGAACTCACAGCCTCCCGATTGTGAGTTGACCACTCAAAGCCTCTTGAAGCCATTCTCATCCAAAGGCCTCTCTAGTTCAGAGGTAGTCCTCGACTTAACGACCGCCGGAGCATCCACCTGTGGGTCACGCCGCCCGAAATTCATTGAGTGACCATTCAAAGCATCTCCCAATCAGAACGCCTCCATCCAGTTTAGGTGGTCCTCAACTTACAGCCGTTCGTTTAACGGCCGTTCAAAGTCGCAATGGCGCTGGGGGAAAAAGGGACTTACACACTTAACGACCGTCGCAGCACCCTTGCGGCAGGTGATCAGAATTCGGATGCTTGACAGCCGACTCACGTTTATGACGGCGACAGTGTCCCGGGGGGAAGAGACACACAATCCTGTTCTGCAACCAATAGGCAACAGGGAAAACCATATTCACTTAACGACCGTGTTACAACTGCAGGGGTTCACTTAACAACTGTGGCCAGAAAAAGGGCGCAAAATGGAGCGAAACTCATTTGGCAAATGTTCCACTTAGCGATGGAAATTTCCGGCTCTTTTTTTTTCTTTTCCTGGTCGTAAGTCAAGGACTACCCGTACTCCAAAACACAGCGGGTTCAGTCTTGATGAACCGACTTCCTTTTTCTCAATTTCTCGTAGTTGTTGTTATTATTATTATTATTATTATTTCTCTTCCCCTTTTTAGATCCACTTCGGGATTCAGCGGCTGGAGAAGTTGAACGGCGACAGCGGCTCTTTGGCGCTTCTGGGACTTTTCTTTTCTTTTCTTTTCTTTTCTTTTTTTAAACGTCACTTCCTCCAACTTTTTATACCAAGCCAAAACAGAGGAAGGAAACCAACCAACCAACCAAGACCCCATCCAACCTTCCTAAAATTGCCTATATTTTTTTTGTTGTTATTAGCAGAAATGTTGCTTGGCCTCGCTAAATAAAGCTATTTTTTCTGCTGGTCTTTGAATTCCGCCTTGGCCAACTTCAGAAGCCCAGAAAGCTGTTTTGTGGGTGCGGTTGTTGTTTTTTTAAAAAAGGGATCCCCTTTGAAGGAGCTGGGGGGAGGTAGGAATCCTTTAGAGATCTGCGGTCTCTCGAGTGATCAGTTGATTAGAACTCTTAAGGTCCTCGAAGTACGACCTTAGCCGAGTTAAACTTATGACAGCCATAAAGCAGGCTGTTCACCTGACCGACTTGATCTTTCTTTCTTTCTTTCTTTCTTTCTTTCTCTCTCTCTCTCTCTCTCTCTCTCTCTCTCTCTCTCTCTCTCTCT